CACTACCCAGAATTAACAGTGATGTTTCTAAAACTAAAATCTTACCATATGGCTAGTCTGTAAAATGCTCATTGGTACCTCCTTGTCCTTAGGATCAAGTTCAAATTCAGTTGCAAAGTTGACATGACTCTCCACTATTTCCAGCCTCTTCTTACCTACACCTCCCTACTCAACAAGGTGAAATCCAGATCAAAAACAATTATTTGTGTTCCTCCCAAAATGCCAAGCTCCCTCTCCCCTCCAGGCCTTTCCACTTTTGAGGAGAAGGGCATACAAGGATGAGAAACTGCCTGAGTGAGGAGCAGTGCAGAAATAAACATAAGAATGTAGTTGGCAGTCAGCCCACAGAAGTGATGTTCAGAGCAGTACCTTAGATCATACAAGTGACAACATCAGAGAATCTTAGAATTGCTCAGAAATTTATTTAAATCCAGCCCTTCTGCATCCACCCCTGAACTTACCCACCATGCCTTCAAAGAACCTATATTTGAAAAGTAGTGAAGAACATGCACTATATGTTTTCCATGTTATGGCTTTTTAATGTACTCAAAGGAGAGTATATTATACATGGAGACTGATGATTATAATTCTCTAAGGCTCCTGGAAGGCAGAAATCTTTCCCCTGACATCTCTCCCAGTGGGTAGAGGTGATCTTTGAATGGTAAAGGAAAGAAGGTCGGTAACTTCAATTAAGTAGTCCTTTTCATGAAGACAGAGGAAGCACCCAAAGGTTTCTGGCAATTCCTTTGTTTTATGGAGATAGTTAAAAGGAAACCAAGAAGGAAGAGAAATCTTTTCACTTCTTGTGACAGGCCTTGCAAATTGTCTTATTTTAAGGAAACACTGCCTTTCTGTTTTGCTATCCAGTTTTAGTAAATAATCCCTAGAAAATAGCACAGCACTTGTAAACCAGAATTCTCTTATTTTAGTCTGTACTGAAGTCAGTCTCCAAAAATACCTACATCATTCAATGCTTGATGCCATTTGGATTAATAGAAAAATGAGTGAAATACCAGTATATTGCACAACCACACAAGCAGAAATATTTATGCAATGGATAGCCAATGTGAAAGAAAATGGATTGTACACATAAGCTGCCTAATCTACAAGGTTGTAATGGAAATTGCTTCAATTTTTGTGGATGATTTAAGATGGAAGCTTTGTTGTTTTTTTCAGAAGTCAATAGTTGCTAAATGATCACACCTCTGCTTCTACAATGATTTTTGTAAAATATGAGAAGGAAACCAAAGGAACTTATTGCTGATTTTTCAAAGTACTAAGGACAGAGAAAGAAAAGGAAATCTGTGGGTGAGTTCTGTATACATTATACGGAGTTTTTGTTGGGTGATTGATCATCCTCATTACATATGAGAACCACCCACCCCGCCCACCATGGAAAACATTTATTCTGGAACATACCTAACTTTCCAGTAAAGTGTAATATTTTCAAAGTGTTGCCATTTCCATTATGTAAAAAGTCATTGCCTTTTAGAACAGGTGTTTTGGAAAAATTAAACTTGTGTCAAAATGGATATTTTAATTTGTAATGGGAAGTTAACGCAGATGGCTGTAATGAGGGCTCTAAACTATCTTTTAATTTATTATTTAGAACCTTATATCATTATGCACACACCCTCAAAATGTGCAACCCTCCAAGCACAGTTCTGAGCAGATGTGCTCAAAGGTGTCAGTAACACCTAAGTGATGATCTGAACTGCATGGCAAAGTCAATAGAAGGTTGATGGAAATGTAGATTACAATGGAACAGGCTTTTGGAAAACAATCTCTGTGCGATGTACAGGCCGTGCTATGCAGCGACGGCATGGGCATGAGCACATAAACACACACACAGAGGAATCATTCAGAAGCACAACGAGGAAGTCAGAGCATGCGGACTCATGCTTGTTTCTAGAAGCATCACCCATTGGAAGGGGCTGAGCTAGTCCTTTAGATCAATACAGTGGTTAGTATTTAGTACCAACTATGGAGCAGATACCATCACTGGTCCTTTAGAAGAATGATGTCATTTTATTTTCTCAACAGCCATATTTAGTAAATTGTAATATCCCTATTTTACCGATAATAAAATAGAGGTATGCTTCATCGCCAAACTACCATTTGACCTTGGAGAAAGCAGCAAGGTCATTAATTTAGGCATGTTTTCCAACCTCAAGAGAAAGCAATTGGTTTTACGTCAGATTTGTTCACTTATTTCAAGGAGTTTGTAATTGACATACAGAGAATAGCGCATTTTTCATCTCGTTATATTCTTTCTTTGACAACCATATGCTTTATTTGAAAAGCTGAGGACAAATATTGGGAAGAATGACATGGTACCAGGTATTAGAGATGGGTAAGGATGGCAAGAAAATAAGCTAGAAACCTCATCGGGGCCAAATCATGAAAACTCCATGCGCCATCTTAAGAAGGTTGGGCTTTATCCAGAGGATGATGAAGCACCTTTAAAGGACTTTCATCAGTGGCTACTTGACTTAACTCCAGAGCGAGAAATAAAGATGGCAATGGCCCAGCACCTGTAGCATGAACGTGCATAACTGCCTCTGTAATATGTTTCTCCCTATAACCACCCCCATTTACCTTCAGATGGTTTTTCCTTGAAGCTGGAGCATTTATTTAACTCAAAGCTATTAAATGGAAGTATTTCTTAGCGACATCGCTAACACTCGGCTGAATTTAAAACTGTTCCCTCTTAAAAAATTAAAAATCACAAATATGTCATGCCATAACACAACCTTTAAGCATACACAGGTCATTTAAAAAAAAATTAAAAGTGTGTTCTTCACAAGTGTTTTTTGTTTTTTCCTTCTTTTGGACAAAGAGAAAGTTCCTAATGAGAAAATGGAAAAAGGTTTTGGTGTGAGATAACGCAAAACAAACAAACAAATACACATACACACACACACACACACACACACACACATATACACACACTCTCTCTCTCTTCTGCTTTCGAAGATTGAATGGAGAAAGAGTTGCTTAAAAGGAGTAGTAGAATATCTAAATAAATAATATCCCAAATATTTCCAATCACCAGAGGGAATTTCCAGTAGCATGTGCTGCAATTTGCCACAGGCAGATGAGAACCTCTAATTCAGAACATAAGCTGAACCTCCATCTATAAAAAATTCTACAAGCAACAGCATGACCTGGCTAGAATAATGATGTATGACTTGTGGCTGAAAACACTCCACAGCTCAACAGATGGCTCTCTTCTGGGGCTTGAGACAGGCAGGCATCAGGCAATATCCTGACAAGAGGAAAATATTGACCCCAGGAGAAGAAAATCAGAGCCCAGGGAGATGGCATATCTTTTGAGAAGCACCATTTGCTAGGTGTGCCCTGCAGGAAGCTCCCCCTCAACACAGCAACAAAGCAATTGCTTTGCTACAGACGCATGTCAAGGAGTTCATAAAACAAAACCATTGGTGCAAGTGAAATTCTATGATTTTTTTTTTAACACTGAGATATTTTGATTTTTGTTTGTTTGTCTCTGCATTCAGAAGCTAAATCGTGTTATCACACATCTCGATTCTAACCAAGGTATACTCCTCTGGCATATTCCAGCTCAAATTCCTTACATCCACAGTACAGATCCTCTTCGATATCCGGGAGAAAAATAAACCATGGCTGTTAACTGATGATGAGCCTGTGCCTGGTGCTATAAACAGCCTCACCCACTCACCCAGACAGGCACTGGGTTAGTGCAAAAGCAGGGCTTCCCCCTGCCACCCCCAATCCCAGACATATCCAAAACTGAATTCGCTGTCCTCCCTCCAAAGCCCAATTCTCCTCTTAGTTCCACAAACAGACAAATAACTACACCATCCACCCTCAGTTATCCGATACAGAAACGTACAACCTGTTTTTGCTTCCTCCGTCTTCCCCAAGTCTCTGACCAATAACCAAGCCCCATCATTTTGACAACCAAATCTCTCTCCTATCTATCCGTTTTTCAACAGCCACCTTCCAGGCCAGCTCCTCCCAGTCTCAGCCCTAAATCATGCAGCCTGTAGCCTGAGTGATCCTTCCCAGCACAGCTCATGTAGCCTGAGTGATCCTTCCCAGCACAGCTCATGTAGCCTGAGTGATCCTTCCCAGCACAGCTCAAATTGAGTTTCTCTTGCTAAAAGCCCTTCTAGTAGCTCTCCATGGCTTTTAGAATAAAGTCCAAAGTCTGTACCATGACTTAGGAGGCCCCTCAAGTTACAGCCCTTGCTTTTACTGGAATCTTCACTGCTCGCCATCACCCCACCTAACACCGTATGCCCCAACGAGTCTGATGCCATATGGCTCCCCCAAAGTACTGTCGGCATGCTTGCCACCCGGCCATTGCCTCAGGCACGCATCCTCCACTTAACTGCCACTTGCCCTTGAAACTCAACTCAGCTTTCTCTGCCAATAGGACGGCTTCTCTCCCTCTATGTTCTCAAAATGCTCTTTCAAGTCATAGACCTACCGCACCATGTTGGTGTCTGGGTCCTGGTGGTATTGCATCCCAAGATTTGGACTCAGAACTGAGAACACTTTAGGAACTTAAATATTTTTGAATGAATGAATGAACACTTCTTGAATAACTGAATGATGTACTGAATTAATAAATTGCATTTCAGATTATTCTGGCAATTGATAGCACATCTCTCTGCCTCCCCATACCATCACATGACTCTCTTCCTTCCTTGTCTCTACTGACTTTGCCACTGATCTGCTTCCTAACCTAGCCCTTCCCCAGGCCCTCTTCATGTGTCATATGTGTGTGATATCCCTGCTGTCACCCTTGGAATTTCCATAGTGTTTCTGATTTGACCTGCCTTCTTGCTTTGCTATCCTTTTTTTTGAGTAGAGCTAGTCTCAAAAAATCAATTGTTGGTCCCAGGCACTCACTTGTCCTATGCTTGGGTCAGTCACCACTCCTGCCCCACCCTACTCAAGAAATTAGTAGTCAACATTTTAAAAAACACCCATAGTTCCCAGAGTCCCACCTCAAGACTCAGCCAAATTTGACCGTTTTTTTTTCCCTTTAATTGTGGCTGTGATGTTGAAGCAGGACACACACAGCTTTGTGAGCAGAAGTGTCTTCTGCTCTGCTGAGGAATAAAGGTCAAAGCAAAGGTTTGCACATGCCCTTTGACCACAGTTGCCTCCAATGACCACCACCATGGCATCATCGGCCAATTTCTTGTCTTCCTGTAGAAGAGTCATACGGTTTTACGTCAGAGCTCTAGGTATCCGTGCATACCCAGGGATTAAAATTTTGGGAAATGTTTTCTTACAAACCAACTGTTGCGGGGCAGTGTAAAGGACAGTAATTGTATCCTGCACAGAGGATCTTATAAATGTCTTTGCTACTCTGTAGGGCATGCTCAGCAGCCTCAACTGCCGTCCAGTTTGCTGCCAGGAGTCAGAGGCCCTCATGGCCAGGACACCGCAGCTGAGCACAGCTCGCCTAGAGAGTGTTCACACAGCACTGACACTCTGAGGCCTCTCCCACCCCACCTCTTCAGGAACCATCCCCGCCACTTCCCCATATGTTTTCCACTCACTCGAGTCTTGATTTTTGCCACTCTAACCTTGGTGCCGAGATCTTGGTCTTGAACTTGCCTCTGCCACTCTCAACTTGATGTTTATACATGGACTTCCAAGTGTGTAACATATGGCTTCCCTTTATGACTTTGATTGGCTCATCCTCCAGCTTAAGATTCCAACTCCATAGCATCAGCCTATCCAAAGGCCCCTGGAAAGAGAAGGAGGGCATGGTAGAGTCAAGCACATAACCACCCTGCATTGCCAAGTGGGGAGCATTTTTCCTGGGGGGGCTCTTTACAGAGACCACTTTATCTTAGCCTTGTGTAGACTGAGACCTAAGGCTAGTATTGGAAGACAGCTATATTGCAATTGACTGATAGAATAAATCAGGTGGACTTTGAAGAGCATTCATCTCCTATTTGTGCCACCTCTAGATACCCTGCTACCCTTCCTTAAGGCATTTTTAATTTTAACAGTGTAATTCTTAAAACACACAAGGTGGAACTGAAAACATCACCAGACGTCATAGAAGTGTGAGCCAGCCTTTAAGGAAGAGGATGGACTCTTGATCTGAAAAGCTATTAAAAGGCATTTTTTTTTCCAGTCCCTTCACCTGCCCACCTGATTGATTTTAATTGAAGATGTAAGATCTCAAGGAGAAGAGGGTGCATAAAATAGAATGCCATTTTTTCTTATCCACTCTCTCACAGATAATGATGCGGGAGTGTTGGCCAGCATAGATAACCAGTGTAAATTAAGACCATAACTGGGAGCCTATTAAAGGCCATCTCCACTTGCTCTTGCCTATTCCCATTCTTGCACAATACACAACACAACTTGAGAGAAGGCCAAAAAAATTATCTCTAGAAAACTCTAGAGATGGGGGGGGGGAACTCTAGGGATATAGGAGAGAGAGAGAGAGAGAGAGAGAGAGAGAGAGAGAGAGAGAGAAAGTATCTCAAAGCTTTCCAGTTCCAGGAGTTACACCTTCTTTAAAATACCATTAGAGTCCCCTGAAATAAACTGCTTTTCACTGGAACTTTCTTAAGGGATTTCTGTTGCTTGCCACCAAGAGTGTCTGCCCATGCCTGCATCTTCCATGTGATCTTTTATCATGATTCGTGTTTTCCTGGGTTAAGCGAGTCCTTTAAGCATGTATTTTAACAACAGCCCAATCCTTACAAATGTCCCAGATTCCCAGTGGTTTTAAGACTGACATTTTATTACACAAATTACAAGGCTAGAAACTATATCCCCAGTTTTCAAGAGCCTATAACAAAATAGAGTTTGAGTCAAATATCTTTGCAGTAAAGGAAGCAGAAAAGAAACACTTTAAGCCCACTGAGAGAATAAAATTGATGTCAAAGGGCCCTTACAGCTATACTTTAATCTCTACCTTCCACATCTTTCCCAATCTTCTGGAATCTTTGATGGTGTTATTTTATTTTGTTTATGCTTTTGGAAGCAGTTGGGGAGGTAAGTGGGTTTTGCCGGATTTGGGAGATAGAAAGTGACCATCAACTTTCTATCTTTGGTGACAATCTTTGACACCAAAATAATAAAATTTGAAGAGGACACTTTCCTTCTTTTCTTTCCTCTGTAAATAAATGCAGACCACAATCAAGTACATCAATTGCAGAAAATGAATGACATTTAAGAACAACGACTAGACTAAGCAAATGCATTGCAAAATACAATATGCCCAGTCAAATTAAATTTCACATCAGCAACAAATGCTGCAGAGGACGTACTTACACTAAAAGAAATTTTTCTTGCAAGTCTAGAAACCTTAACTTACCTTCTTGTCTCAAAATTTCAATTGAAGTTCCAAAGCTGAAAACACTGAGGGGAAAAGCCAAACAAACCAACGTCCCTAAAATGAGCTCCTAGACACACCTTGCCTTCAGTCGGATTCTGCCTCAATTTTTGCGTTGAGGGTTTCTTAACTTTCCATCTCTTCTATATACCCTTGTCCAACTCATCTTCCTAAGAGTCCACTTCCACATTTATCATCAGCTATAACCCGCGAACTCCTTCAGGGCAGGGCCATATCCAATTCATCTCTGTTTCCTCAGAATCCTGAGACTGCATAGAATGTGTTCAATAAACATTCACTGAGATAGAATGTTGGCCACCAGCCTTTGGCCTCAATTCCAGATTTCCCTTCCTGGCTTTTTGATTGCTTTCTTTCTATCTCTAATCAAGCCTCAGCTGGATAACTTTACTTTTTAGTTCTTCTCAACAAAAGCATCCACATTTATTAAGATTTTGTTTCTGCTATTTCCTAAACAAGCGCTGCCTCTCTGCTTGTGCTAGACAACCTTTCTGTAACACCTTACCTCTGCTCCCTGAAAGTTACGTAAACATACCGAAGATCCAGTTCAGCTGGGCACAATGGCACATCCCCTGTACTCCCAACTACTTGGGAAGCTAAAATGGGAGGATGGCTTGATTCCAGGGAGGTCAAGTTTGTAGTGAGCTGTGATCATGTCACTGCAATTCAGCCTGGGCAACAGAGTGAGACTGTCTCAAAAAAAAAAAAAAAAGAAAAGAAAAAGATCCACTTCAAGCACCTCATTCTTTAATTGTTCCATGCAATGCTATCTCTGTTTCATGAAACTTCCATATTAGAAGTTAAAGCAAAGTTTCACCTTCAATAGTTGGTCCTGCTCTTAAAATAGAGGACTATACCACAAATCTCTCCTGTCTGGCCCTTTAGTACAATGCTTATCCAGTGGCCATGGTCCACAAACAGGAAATGGATGTATTTCCATTGCTTCTAGCACAATTCATGGCTTAAAACCTCCCTCAGCAACTAAGGAACAAGATAATTGGAGGTTTTCATTGTTTGCCTTGTCAAGTCTTATCTACCCAATATCCAAATGCTCTGATTTACAACAGGCTGCTGGGGGCAAGAATTTGAATTGCCTTAGCTAATGGCTTTCCAGAGGCCTAACCATATGTGCTAAAGATAAATTTTTAAAGCTCCACACTATGGGCCAGCCATGATGGCTCACACCTGTACTCCCCGTACTTTGGGAGGCTGAGGTGGGAGGATTGCTTGAGCCCAGGAGTTCAATACCAGCCTGGACAACAAAGCAAGACCCCTGGCTCTACAAAAACTAAAATAAATAAGGAATATTATCTGGGAGTGGTGGTGCACAGCTGCAGTCCCAGCTACATCAGGAGGCTGAGATAGAAGGATCACTTGAACCCAAGAATTCGAGGTTACAGCAAGCAATCTATGATCATGCCATTGTACTCCAGTCTGGGTGACAGAACAAGACCCTGCCAATGATAAAGTAGAAAATAAATAGATAGATAAATGAATAAATCTTTACTTCAGACAAAAAGCAAAGCTCAGAAAATTGTTTAGGGAAAGGGTTAATAGCATGGGAGTTTAATCTTGGCCCTTCTACAAATTTTAATCAAGCCAACAAATTCTTTTACATCACATCTCATTTTGATGTGCATTTGTCAGACCAAGAGAAATTGGCATCTTCATATTTATCTGAAATTTAATTTCTTCTTCTTTCTTCTTCTTTCAATGATAGTTCATATTCTGATTTGGGTTCAGTTTGAAATCTGAGCTTGAGATATAGTTTGGGGGAATAAATAGGGGTAGTCACTGAGGTACTGGTGTTGGAAAGACAGACCAGGGAATGTGGTAGGTGTGACTACCAACTGAGTGTGTCAGAAAAAAATACGGATTTTTATAGTTAATTATCCAGAATTATTCATTTAGCAGTGGCCAAGTGAACCAGAAATGAGCAATTTAAAGCCTAATCTTAAGCCCTCTGCTCACATTTGATGTTATAGGATTTTTGTTGGGATAAACTAAATCATGTTTCCAAGAATCAAACATATTGGTTAGTGGGAAATTTCCAGAAGGCAATATCAATAAAGCTGTGTCTGCCACTCCAATTTGACACTGCGAGATGGAGATAAATCTGGCAAGGGAGAGCGGCTGCACTGGGTTCTGTGCAGAACTGATAGTGGTCCAAAATGATGAAATCATAGCATCTGCTCTGACTGGGTATAAATTGTTTAGAGCAATTTCTATGGCGACCGGGCCAAAGTCAGCACAATCAGCTGCAGATTGGAGAGTCAGAAATGTTGACATAGAGTTCGACATGAAGCAAACAAGGCATGTTGTTATAAGTCACACAGCTATCATACTAGCTTTATAAGGAAATAATTTTCAGAGATGCCAAAGGGTCAGGATATCCCATTTACCACTTCACTATGGCAGAATATACTAAGGACACAAGGCGTTATAATACTGTATCCAAGAACTACTGAGTATATAGGACTCTGCAAGGAGGAGTCATAATGTTTTATTGGCCCCTGGTTTGGGATTATGAAATCTATGCTCATTTCTCCACATATCAAGAGAGAAGCTCAAGGGGTAAAACTCCACTATTGTGAGGTCTCATTTCAGCTCTGACATCCTATAACAAGAATAAAAGGGAGGCAATGAGGCAATGATGCTTTGGTCACTCTTAAATTTTAATCATTGAAATAATAATAATAACAACAGTTAACAAGAGTTAACATTTAGCAAGTGCTTCTCTATACCAAGGACTGTACTTTATTTAATACTTAACCCAACCCCATAATATAGGGTGGATCATTTAGGAAGTAACTCATGGCTTGGCATAATCTTTCCGGAGATCTTTTGTGCCCCTAGAACTTCCCGAAGATGCTGGCTAGAGGCAGCATCCATGCTATTATGGAAGTGGTGCTCATCTCTAACCTCAGATGTAATGTACAGTGTGAGTCCATCTTTGCCTTCCTTTTTTCTTAATCATTTCTTCTTCTTTGGTCTTGGTTAGATAGCTCTGTAGTTATAGGAATTAGATTAGCCTATGAGTGAATCCTATTAAATGATGAATAGGAACACATCCAAACTCAGTCAAACTCAGTGCTCTTACAAGATGTACAGAAGGAAAGCTATGACAAAAGAAATGTATTGTTATTTATTGGATGCCTAGTTTATTGGATGCCTAATTTTAAAAAAATTTATTGGATGCCTAGTTTAAAATAAAAATAAAAATCTGGCCCACTAGCTAGGAACTACTCAGATCTTGGAAGGACTCTGAAGAATTCTTGTTTTAGAGTTGTGCTATTCTCAAATAGCTATTTTTATGATTAACTTCTATTCTGAGTAATAAATGAAAAAAAGATTCTTGAACTTTTCAGCAAAAC